AATTCAGGATGAATTTTAAGAACGCAATAGGAATAACTAGCGCGGCAGATGTAGACTCAGGGTATTCTGCACGTTCTGAAGGATTTGTTTTTAATGTGAAGCATGTACCTTCACACTCTGTAACATGTGCTCTGGTTCACTGACAGATTCGTTTTGCACGGTCCCTCCGGAGTATTGGCACTCACGCCATCTATAAACAGACAGTCAAGGTTTGTGTCTGTCAGGACTGTACTTCGTTCTATTTACCGCACGGCCTTTGGGGTGGGAAGGAAAGGAATTAATCAGAAGAAGCATGCGGTTCTCCCTGCCTCCTGCTCCTTTATTTATGTTTGAACTTGAAAGCTTTCCGAGCTCTTAATTATTCCCAGAGTTTTCCCTCTTCTTCCCAATGCGGCATCAGCTGATCCAGCAGGTGAGGGGCAGGGCGATGAGCTGTTGGAGACAAAAGGCAGCTCAGGAGATCATCGCGGAGATAAGGAGCCCTCGGCTGATGGAGTGGAAGGAACAGGGTGCATAGGGATTAAAAGGGTGAGGAGTATCTGGTTATCTGCGAACTAGGGGAGGAGGAGGGTGGAACGGGGGGGGGGTACCAGGCTGGCTGGATGCCATGAACAGGCCCAGGGATTCTAGGGGTCACAGAAGGGAAATGTGCCTTTGTACGTGCGATGGTTATACCTGAGTGGGCCGTGTGTGCCTGCACCTGGTTGCCTTCTGCCTGGCAAACGTCCTGAAGGCAGAAACCACGGAGTGTGAGATGCACTAGCAGTGCTTCTGTGTGGGGTATTTCATCTGTGCTAGCTTGTCCAAAAGAACCCCCTCCCACCCTTCGCACAACTGGCAGGAGATGGCATGGAAGCCTTAGTTCAAGTGATTATACATACTGAAGGTAATCTATAAACTCTTTCAGGGCCAGTGAGCTAACATCCATAGTTCATGACCACCAGCACAGAACAATGTCAGCCACACAAGCAGACGTTTGCTTTGAGGATGGCCCAAGTAATTGCCCACAGAAAGCTTGCAATAACCAAGTTTCCCCTATAGAAAGGAATCTTTCTCCAGGAAAGAGCCTTTCAGCTGTAATTCGCGATAAAACAAGCGGGATGACAACACAACAATAGAAACGTTAACGTTAGGAAAAGAAATGTCCCTTGCACTAACGGGTGGTTCAGAGGCCCATGTTCAGCAGCTGCCGAGTCGGAAAAAGGACCGCTGGCCCCCGTTTGCTGATGACTATTCATGATGTGCTGAAGTTTACTGTAAAACCAGAGCTCGGGTGGCCCCCCCAGCACCGCCTCCCCGTGCCGGCGCAGTGCCGCCAGCGGCCACGGCGCGGCGCTGTTGCCCCGCTGTGGCGGCCGGCAGCGGGAGCCCCGGCGCTTCCCTTCCTTCCGCCGTGGGAGATGGGTCCGGCACCCCCTGCTCCCGCATCCCCGCAGGGTTGAACGGGGCAGAGGCCGAAGGTGAGCGCGAAGGGATGCGGGGAGCTGCAGGGGTCCTCTCCCCTCGCGGGTCCTGCAGACAAAGAGAATATTTATTGCAATTAGAGCGCAGAACAATAAATCGCATCTGCAGCGCAATTACAGCGTTTGCCACCTATGCTTATTGCTTAAGCCAACTTCTATGCCCTAAATAAGAAGGGCAAGAAGGGGTAATGTGCGCTTTAAATCCGTGTGTAAGGGCAGTTTCCCTTAAAGCCGCTTCCGGCTGCATTGCTTGTCCCAGTTACAGCAGAAAGCATCAGAAGGTATGTGCGGCAGTGCCTCCTCCTGCCCCACTGCAGTGCCACCGGCCAAGCCCACCACAGCCCCCGTGCCTTCCGCCAGCATCAGGAGAGCTCCCAGCAAGAGGGGACAGGCACCATGTGCTGTGGGGTGAGAACAGCAGCACACAGTAAGTGATGCTCTGACATCCTCCTGTCCAGCACGGATCCCATCACAGGATCTCACCCGCTCGACAGGCGCCTTCCATGTGTTGATGCTGATCCGCGCACAGCTCATCTCCAGGGATATCAGTAGAGAGTGGCTTGGCAGCGTGGCGCCTGGTGATGCTCCTGCCCACATGGTTCACACAATGTGCTGGGCTATTTTAGCAGCCATCCACCTACTGCTGCTGCTGCCATCGCCTGAGCTTCTCAATCAGTGCTGTGTGCATGGCTCGGCTCCAGTGGGTGAAGCCTGCAGGAGCGAAGAAGTGTAGTTTCCCCTTCCTCACTCTACGTGGAAGTAGGATGCTGCTGTGATCCTTTAAGGAATGGATGGGTGAAACAGTAAGAATTACTGAGAAAAAAAAAAACCAACACAACAAAACAGACAGTTTTGCCCTAAAATCTGGAGGCAAACTTAGGGATGAGGGTTTTGTGGGCTACAGCTCTGCATGTGTTTTAAGGGAAGATGCACTGAAGAGGAGGCAGGAAAGCTGATGGTGTTGCTTATGGCATACTCCTGATGAAAACTGAGAGGGGATTTTTTGCTGCTGAGATGACTGGGAAGGGCTTTGGCTCCACAGTGAAGTCACTGACTGCGCCTGTGTGACTCCTCCTGTGCTCAGGGACAAGCTGTGTGAAGACTTTCCCAATTCCACTGCCTGCTTCCCCTCCTGAGGGATGCTGTTGGCAAGGCTCCGGATCTGACTGATGGCTCCAGTTGAAAGGGTAGCAGTACCCACACCGGTCATTTCCAATACCCCTGCTGAAACCCTGGCACTACAAAGCTTCATTCTTCTGCAGTGCTCACCCCATGCAAAGCTATTTGCAACTCAACAAGTCTCGCTCAGGCCTGCTTTTCATCCCTGCCGTAACTTCTGATGCAGGGAAGGGCAACTCCTCTCGAGCTGAGAAATTTAAGCCCCAAAACCCCATCCAGTTTCACCCCTTGGCAGTTCATTTCAATGGGTAACTGTTAAAAATGTACCTTGCTTCTCACTTCAGATCACCTGGATTTAGCTTCCAGCCGCTGCCTGTGATTATACACCTCCCTGCTAAGCCGAGGCACCCTTTGGTACCTGGTATTTGACAGCTCTTTACACACTGTACGGCAAAGTGACCGAGCAATGTTTGCATTAGAAAGCCGTTGTTGGCCGAAACCTCGGACCAAAGTTTGTTTTCCTTCATGGAGAAACAATGTTAGTGCTGTTGGCGATCCTCATCCCACTGTAAAGCCCTCATCCTGCTCCTGCTGTGAAGATGACAGGCTCCAACCTGGGGCACATCCATGGGAACAGCCGTTCGGAGGGCAGTGGCTCCAGCTTTCACGCTGGAAAAGCAGCATTCGCTGGAGGGAGTGAGGAGCTTTTACCTTGGCTCCAGCCCACAGGCTTTCTTCAAACCATTCCTTTCACATGGAAATCCCTGCCAAATGAAGATCGTTAGCTCTGGCTGGCATGTCAGCCATGGCAAGAGGGACAAAGGGTCTGTATCGTTGGATATACGTGACACAAAGAAGAGGAAAGAGGTTTGTTTTGTGCTGGTTACTGTAAGCAGCGTGCAGGGAGTCTTTGTGTAAGGGGTGGGAGAAGGGGGAGTAAGTCTAAGGAAAGAAAGCTAGATTTATTAACATTAATTCCAAATAATCAGTTTTCTGCGGAAGGCAGAACCACTAATCCCAAATTTCCCTGCCTCAGAGTCACCATTCCAGTCCCTTGCCTCCTCCATAAAGCCCCAGCCGAGGAAGCACACCTGCATTAAGTCTGCTTCATGTCATTCACTGAGCCGGTTTTACCCCAATGCTTCCCTTGTTTCCCACCACCAGCAGAACACAAGTCATTCCTAGCAGGACCATCCCATGCAGTTTTCCATCAGGACTACACTGTGCAAGCAAACAAGGCAGCTGCTGCTCTATTGTACAGTCCCTGCCTGCCCTGTGCGTGCCTTTGGAGGCTTTGTCCAGCCACAAGAGCCAGATGAGCTGCGTTGGTGCCAGCTCCCACCTATGGACCTGCATGCGGCTGGATGGGATATGTGTGATGCCAGCAGAGCCAGGCAGCTACTGCAGGAGTCACCCGGGAAGGCAGGGGACAAGAACAGCATCGTGGGCTGGTGACTCTCAGTGTGGAACACTTCCATAAGTGAGTGGGATTTGAGGAGAGCTGCAGATGCTGGAGGTTCAGAGTACATTGCCCTGCTGCCCGGCTAGAGCAGACAGCAATGAATTTACAGTTTCTTTTTTCCCTATTCCCCAATACCTCCTTGTTCTTGCGTGTGTCTGCATAACATCTTCTCCATGAGTTCCAAGATGCTTTCCAAAATGCTGTAATGCATGCAAAGCCTCATAGGAACAGCTACAGCTGCCTTTTGACACAAGGTGGGAGCAGAGGAGAGGGATGTAATCAGCCAGTATCATGGGTCCCTGGGAAAATGGGAGGTTTCCTAGGTCAAATTCCTAGGTTATTCCTGGAAATCAAATCGCACTGAATCTGGTGAAAGAGAGTTAAAAGCAAAATGGCCCCACTCAATCTCAGCTTTGGGAAGGCTCCTTTACCTCAAAGCTGCCAATCAGGCACCCAGCATCAAAAGCTCATAGCACAAGCAAATTCTCACCTTAGGTGTTTGCTCATCCTGCAGGACCACACAGGAACCCTCAAATCTCCTTGGAAAAGCCAAGTTATATTACAAGCAAAGAAACACAGTCTGTGCTGGACCCTATGTATGACCACAGGGCACGTGGAAGTGTGGAAACAGTGCAGCACGAAGGGGGAAACTAAGAGAGGTCCACTGCTGCATCCCCTCAGAGACACTGGGGGGGTTGAGCTGATGCAACAGAGGCTCCTCATCCTCTTGCTTTAAAAGCGTGGTGACCCCTTCACTTTCTTGATTCTTAGAACCTTTCAAATGGTTACTGCAACATTGATGCTCAAATAAATTATAGCATTTTGGTTTTGTGCATGTAATGCATTCAAATGAAACGATTCTTCTCTATTTCTATTGTTATTGTTTTAAAAAATGGCATACTGAACAAAAAAGCTCTTATTTTGGATCTTTGGCATTTATTTTACAATCTCCTTTTTTCTTGAACACAAAGTGAATTCTATCCCCCTCTCACTACAATTCTGTGGATATCTGGAAGGTGATAGAGAATGCACCCTGAGTTATTGAATTTGCATGCATTTGACATGTCTGTCAGCATCAGCTTCTGGTCTTTGCTGCAGGCTCACATGGTGCTGCGTCTCCGTGGGCAGCTTGCAGCAAGAGAACTTGGCACACCTGAAGCCTTCTTGATTAGAAAAGACAAACCTTAATGGGCACAGTTCTTCTTTCTATCCTAATTCTTTCTTTTCCATAGCTCTCTGCTGTCCTCACTCTTAGGCAAATATGCCTTATCTTAATTTCTGTCGTTCATATTTCTTTTCCTCTGTGTTGCTCACCTCATCGTAAAGCCGCAAATACCTCTTTTGCTACATCTCACTGTTCATTAGGCTATTTAGGCCTCTCCCAGCTGCTCCAGCTGGGCTTTTTAATTGGAACAAGGGTGCCCGAGGGTGAAAAGAAGAAAAGAGAAGATGAGGGAGCGAGGAGGGGAGAACGATGTGGTTTGAAAGGGCAGATTCAAATATTTCTTGCAGGTGGGGGAGAAAGGAGCATCCCTGCAAGCAAGCAAGAGCTGAGCAAAGGCGAGGAGGAATGGAAAGGAGGGGGCTAGGTGAGAGACAGGTGAAGGGAGTTTAAGAAACCCTGATTAGTTAATGTTTGTAAAGTGTTTCTGAGAGCAATGTTACATGTATATGCTAATCTGCTAATTATTATTTTGTGGTGTGTCTTGGTTGATGCAATCATGTATGATTAATCACAGCTGACTTGTCAATAGCAGTGAATGATGGGAGTGTAATACAAAAATTAAGCAGCAATTAAGGTCAAGCTCCTTCTCTCTTTCCAGAGTAGAAGGGGATTTTCTCAAGGCTTACTTCAAATGCTGTAGAGGATGCCCTGGTTGAGTGGGATGAGCTCTTCCTCCAGCAGAAGGACCCTCCTGGTTGCACCCCAGCATGGATAAGGTTGGTGGAAGTGTGTGGGATGCCCTCATGAGGAGGGGTGGAAGGGTTATTTCTGTAGTGTTTTATACCCATATCTGAAGGCAGGGATAAAGCCAGCAGAGTGAAGAGTAGCTGTTCCCTGAAGCTTTGAGCAGTGCTGTTCCATGGCACGTGTCTCGCTTCAGGTGGTATAAAATCTCATCCCACAGGCTTTGTGTGAGCTGAATATGAATTGGGGGGGAAGCAGTGGGTGGTAAGAGCACTTCTGTGCAGCCCAATAGCCACCAACATAGTTCTGCGTGAGCTGGCACCTTGAATTGCTTCCTGCTCATTGGTCTTTCAGGTGCCTGGTGTGTCTGGTTACCAGAATTGATATGAGAACAGTAATGGCCAGGGAAAGAGGTTTTTGCTAGAGGAAGCCTGTTTGGTCATTTTTAGAGGTAGAAAGGCTAATTAGAGTTTGTTTGTGGTGAGTTGTTGGAGTAAAACACACATAGCTCAATGAGTTGGTAACTGTACCCAATGGAGGAATGAAATTGTTCCTTGCTGACCTGGTCTTCATTGTCATGGTGGAAGCTTCTTTTGGAAGGGGCCTGACGATCAGCAGCTGCAGTAGCTTTTGTTCTCCTTCTGCTTGTAGAAAAAAGGGAGCTGAACAGTGGCTGCAGGCACTGAGCTAAGATGTTATGAGATTATTCATAAATCAGAAATGGAGCTTGGTCTTGAAGTCTTAATTCTGGTTTATTCTAAGGGCAAACTATGGTGTTTTAAAGTGCTCTGAACTTGGGAGGTGTGAGGACATGCTGGGAGAGATACGTGCCTTAGAGTAACCACAGTAAAGGCTGGTGTGGTGCTTCTGAATGCAATGAAGTTCTGGGTTTGTTGGCTAGCAGCTGCTGAGTTGTCTGCTGTTGTTATGGTATTGCTGAGCATGAAGCATTTTTGGTTATGTGCTTTGTTTGGCAATGAACATAGACTCTGTTTGCTGATGCTTTCACAGAGATGCTGACCTGTCTGAAAAACCTTAGTGCCTCTTATGCATGGTCTGTGACAACTCCCTTCATAAAGTCTTGGCTCTCTTTCTCTGTCCCCTGCTCCCATCCCCTAGTTTCTCTGCCCTCTTTGCAACTTTAATTATGAATGGTATTGCTCAACATCAAAACAGCCTCCCTTCTAAATATAAAAAGACCAGTAAATAATTTGCTGTAAGAGGAAGGTGGGAGAAATCAGAGCTGCTACTTCCATGCTAACAGGATAGCTAGAAACCATGCTCACCTTCATCCACTGCTCCCCTGTTTAAAGCACAAGCTGTGCGAGCAGCAGCCAAAGCACACGTATCTTTGCAATAGATGAGATATAACTCCTTGTGCCTGAAAGTTGTACGATGCCCATCAGAGTAGAAGTTGCTCATGAGAGTTTTGGAGCCTTTCATCTCAGTTGGGTTCTGAGTGTTTTTACTGATAACATCATGTTAGCAGCCTGGTGAATTTACTAGATTAAGGTAGAAACGAAGACAAGGGTGGCGTAGAAGCAGTAATGGGAAAACTCTCTTCTGTTTGTAGCAAACACAGGTTTAAACAAGGACATTTATGCAGGTTCTGTTGTAAGGGTCTAAGTGGGACACTGGAGTTTGAAGATGTAATAGAGCAGCTGAGTAAGTGTAGAGGAAGGTGGTAATGACATGCAGCTTTAGCAACATTTCAATGGTAACAAGGTGAGGGGGGGGAAAAACCCCTTGCTATGTCTCTAACTTTCTATTGAGACTTTCGTCATGCTTGTAAATGCCTGTGATGCTAGCAGTACTGCTTCCTTGTGTGTTTCCAAGGAGCTGTGAAAGGGAGGCTATGTGCTTTGGATATCATGGTGACTGAGGTTCTGCCCCTGCCCCTGAAGAAACCTTTCTTTTCTGAGGGAGAGCCCTAAATATGTCAAAGCAAATCAATAAACTGTGGGTTTGGTACTTTTCAGACTTGCAGTGCTAATGGGAACTGGTGGAGCTGTTTTTCCTTGGGGGGGGTGGGGGTGTGGAAGTTGACTGATTGAAATAGTTTCCAGGGAGAGGAGATGGAGAATGAAATATTCCTCTTTGGAAATATCGGATGCAGGGCTCCTGAATGATGACCAGAGCAAAGACACTTGAGCCTTCTAATCCTTCTCGCTGGGGGACAGCACTGTGAGGAGTCAGACCGAAAGCCCCAGAAAGCCTTGCCCTGCTGCAGTTCCTCTGCAAATAAAGAGCATCTGCAGGGAAACATTCATTGGCATCTTGATTGTTTTCCTAGTTGGGCACTGCAGAGGTGAACCTTAACTGTCAGTCTGTAGAATAAACACCAGCTGAACTAAATATCTTCATCTTCTTTGGCTGTCCAAGGGGTTTCTCTAACTGGTGCAATGGAAATGCTTTCTTATGTTCTTATCCCATTGAAGCGGCCATGTGGTAAAATGCAAACACCACATACCTCTACTATTATTCTATTATGCAATGATACAAAGCTCTGCAGGTTTAATAGTGGGATTTTGAGCTTTTTTTTTCTAGGTCCCTGTCCTAGCTGATTGATGGGAAGGCTGCCTAAAGTCATTGAGTTTCTATGGCTGATACCCAAGCCTGAGACAGAAGAGGGCACACTAATTGAAAATCACTATTATTGTATTTGAAAGAAACAGGGTTGTTTTTTTTTACCTCTGTAGAAAAGACAATATAGGGCAAGGAGGAAGGACACAGGGCTGGTGGGAAACAGGGAACCTTTCTACACTGGTGCCCAAACATGTACGTCAATGTGAGATGGAGTACAGGAGTTTAACGTAAGCAATCTATCAGGTAAACCTGTGGGATGAGCCTACTGCTGGAAAAACATTGACAAATTGCTGCAGGTAGACTGCCTAGTAGTACCCCAGGTGTCACGGTGATCTGGCTCACAAGTTACTTGGCCTACATAATATGACCTATATAATAAAAACTAAACCAAGTTAATTATGTACACTTGTACATATGATGTGGAGAACCAGATTTTTCTTTGTTTTATTTATCTGTAAAACCTGAAGTGTCTCTGTTAAGTTCATTTTGGGAAAGAGAGAAAATCTTACAGGAGCAACTTAAAACCCAAGAAGTAAGAGTTCAGATGGCATTCACTGTTACAGTAAACACACTGATTTAAGGTTGGTTAAAGGATGGTTCACTCTATTCCAATACATAAAGCCTCATTCTCTTTGCTTGGTGCAGCTTCTTTGTTCCTGGCTGGGCTCTTTGCTTGGGGAGGCTTGTGCCAAAGGGCTAGGGTAGGATGTGCTGAGGCTCCTTGTATCAGGTCCTGGAGCTGAAGTCTGGCTGACTTCCGACCTTAAGTAGCTCCTTCAAGCCTCTTCTAGTGAGGACTTAACTGAGTTGCTTTGTGATTAACATGAAAGGTTGAGGTCAGCTATGTGCTGAAGAGTGTGAAGTTTATTCCCTCTGCCCCTCCTCCTGTCCCTTCTCTCACTATTTCATATAAAAGCTAAATACTGAGATAATAGGAAAACCTGTAACACTTGACTTTGGATACTGTGCTTGGGGATAGCGCCTTGTGACTTTCTTTTTGTGGTCTTTAGAAAATTGCTCTCATCTCCATCTCAAAATATGTATTTATGGGGAGAAATACCCTGATTAATTCCTAACAAGGAAACAAATGCCATCAGTTTGTCCACCTGAAAATATTCACAGGTGCATCTTTAACCCTTGCTTTACTTTTTCATGAGATTTCAGGGGAAATATTATCTCAACGAGTCTGGTTTGAGGTTTTGTCTTTTTGGAGGGGTTTTGGTTTTGTTTTACAGAAATTCTTCAGGTTTTTCCCTTTTAAACATTTTTATGTTTGGGTACTTAAAAATCTGGGGAGGAGTACAAGAAAGCCTAGACTTCTTGTGAGTTTCATAGCTATCTTAACTGGTACCAGGATTTCATCTCAAACAAGCATTGAGGTTTTTCCTCCTATCCCCACGGATTCTTCCCTAGCTTTAAAATGTACTGAATTTCCTCTTGGGTGTATGGGTTCTTCCTTCAAGTTTCTCCTTGTTACAAGCCACTGAGGGAAGAAGGGAGCAGAGTAATTTGGGGTTTAGTGGAAATCTAACAATTTCAGGATGAAAACAAAGTACAAAATGCATCAGTGACCTGTTCCTTTTTCTCCAGTATTTCACAGGGGAATATCTGTGGCATGCATGTTCTTTTCCTATGAAAAAAATACTTTAAACCCAATATCGACTTCTTTTTTATTGTCTGTAAGTGATCCAAGGAGCTGATCTTCTGTCTGTCTGCGCTGCCAGTCAACCTTGGTCAGTTCAGGCGTGTGCTTTCACTCATTCCAGGTGATTTGCATAGTCTGCCTTTTAACTCATTCTGTTTCCTCCACACGGGACAGCAAAAATGCCAGTGTCTCTCAACACAGTTGGGCTGGTGCAGCATAAACGGAACAGCACCAGCAATTGCTGCTTATGATGCATTTAGTGGATTACTCGGGTTCATTCCTTCAGCTTAATGTTTTGCTGTGCATTCAATGTACTTATTCTAGATTCAGCAGTAATGGGTCTGTGAGCTGGCTTCTTGTTTCTTAAAGCATTGTTCAGATGATGCAGTCTCAGGCCTCTTCCAAACACTTGTTGGAGGATCAGGGGACTGGAGCACCTCCTGTATGAAGACAGGCTGAGAAAGCTGGGACTGTTCAGCCTGGAGAAGAGAAGGCTGCGTGGAGACCTCATAGCAGCCTTCCAGTATCTGAAGGGGGCCTGTAGGGATGCTGGGGAGGGACTCTTCATTATAGGGACTGTAGTGACAGAACAAGGGGTAATGGGTTAAAACTTAAACAGGGGAAGTTTAGATTGGATATAAGGAGGAAGTTCTTTACTGTAAGGGTGGTGAGGCGCTGGAATGGGTTGCCCAGGGAGGTTGTGAATGCTCCATCTCTGGTGGTGTTCAAGGCCAGGTTGGACAGAGCCTTGGGTGCCATGGTTTAGTGTGAGGTGTCCCTGGCAGGTGGCTGGAACTAGAT